ACGACAAGGAACTCCTGAGAGTCTTTCCGCCAAAATCCCTTGGCATGTCTACCCTAGTCTCTTGTTCAGGAACTCACGAAATGAGAAAAAAAAAGATCAAAAGAAGCTTTTCAACGGGCGCCTCACCATCTCACATCTTCTATACATCTCTTGGTATGCTACAGCGCAAACAAAAAAATTTCCGTTTCATCAGTTACTCTTACTTCTGATTTCTTTACGCACCGGGGAGGAATTGCAACGTCAACCATTGACTGGCGCTTATGAGGGAAAGATATCCAGTTGTTCTATTATCAGTGAGCTTCTGGGGGAAAGCCCTGTGCTGTCAATTTGCAAGGTGGACTTAATCGTTACCTTGGTTTCTCCTTGTTGCTAAGTAAATGGAAAATTGTGCTACCCAGCTATTCTGTGCATTGTATCAGAACTACTCTTGTGTATTCGTAAAGTCGGCAAGCAGTAGTCGCTTCATCTAGGAGTAAGACGTAGACACTCAACGCCATTTGCCTGGATTCATTTGTCCTACACAAATTCCCCAACACCACGGAATCATTACTGTAGACGTAACTGAAGTTTCAGCATCTAGCAGACCACGCAGCCTCCCTCGGTTTGGCCTCCGGTCTCTGTTGTAGTCATACCCGCCAGTCTCGCCAGATCCTCAAACGTCTCAGCCATAAGCTCCCCAGTGACAGCGGAACACTCCGCATACCGATCACAGCGTAGCTCTTGCGCAATGCGGTACGACTGCATCTATCAGCCGCCTAACTCTCCATTGATGCCTACAAGCGGCTCGTGAGGGCATTTTATAACTCACTTCTTGCGGGTATATGATGCCATCGCCTTCTTTTCGAAGGTCCCTCTTCAAACCCACCATCATGACGGGTATACGCTCCCCGATACCACGCTGGAAATACCGTATCACATCGTGTCGCCACTTCAGGCAAAAGATTGGCTTAGCACGAGTCATGGCAGATTGGTGAGCTGACAGAAACAAACCTGCTTGAGCCCGTCCAGCGTCTCCCGGTTCGAGATGTCGAATGCCAGGAGTACCACGTCCGGCTTCAGGGTTGACCAGTGCTGGTTCGGGCTTGCGGTGTCATATAGCTCAAGCGTAAACGACTTCTTGGAGAAACGGATGTCGAAGAGGAATGGCTGGTCACTATCTCGCAGCAGGTCCATTTGCCTGCTTGGCCCGTGACTGGTTTCAGCTCTGGGTCTTGCTTGGATGTTCTTTACGGCGCTGCATAACTTCAATCAGCATGAACTCGATCTGATAACATTGAAAGATGATGTAAAATGTCTCTTTCGACAGATTAAACAATGGAGATTTTGGCTTACGATAGAAACGTGGACTTCCCGCATCCTGGGTCTCCCAGCACCAAGATGGTGACCACTTCTTTATTATCTTGAGGACCCTCCATGTCCACAAACAGAGAGTGTATTTGATCAACTTTCGATCATGTGTCTAGGCAGGTAAAAACTTTAGAGGATGTTATTAGATGTCCCATGATGTCTTGAACCCGGTGTGTCCATTTTGTCCAGGTAAGATAGGAGTCCGTGGGGGAATATATAAAGTAAAGCGCATACCTTTGGTATCATCTTAATAGCATGACAAGACGACATAACCATTCAAACCACCAACAACAGGAGACTTTTCCGGATTTCCTCTGAATTTGTCGAGTATATATGTGATCTTCATATCAATTACAGATCATGCGCCACGATTCATGCCCTCATGAGCGCCGTCGAACTTCCGACCATGCTCGTTGTAATTACATTACCATTTAAATACAAGCGGAGGGCGAACTCTAAATTTTTGCTTGATGCATCAAGTTTCCCCAAGATCTAGAGGATTCAATATACCTCGTCCAGCATCGTTCGGGGAATGTGGAGAACCCCAGGGAGACCTCTGTCTACGTTGAGTCGCATCACAGACTCTATTTCAATCAAGATTCATTGTCGATATCCCCATACCCGATCCGTGAAGTGCGGTCGCGCAAAATCAAACACCATGCCTGGCCCCGCGGATGCGCCTTCCGAAGGCCAACCGGACTATTCGACCTGGACGACTCCCAGTCTAATCGCGCGGATCACAGAGCTGGAGCGCCAGCTTCACTCACGAAACACCGAGTATGCTACCCTGCCGTCMAAAGGTGTTAGTGAGGTCGGCGCAACGAGATCCGCACCCCCGCCCTCTGAGCATCCAACGACAGCCACACGAGGGCTTGTCCCCGCCAAAGCAGGGAAACAGAAGAGGCCTCTATCGCCTGATGATGATATCACACATACAAGAGCGCCTACCCGTCCTCCGAAGCAACCTCGAGAGATCGATCCTTCCAAATACAATACTCGCTTCATAGCGCTGAAATTTGCGTATCTGGGACAGCGCTATAATGGTTTGGAGCATGCGAATGGGAATGTCACGCCTCTGCCCACCATTGAAGAGGAACTGTGGAAGGCCATGCGGAGGACTCGGTTGATATTCCCCAAGGACGCGGAGGCCTTCGACGATTCTCGGGGGCCGAGGGAATTAAAACCTTACGCACTCAGCTGGGAGGGCTGCGATTACTCAAAGGCCGGGCGGACTGATCGTGGTGTGAGTGCCTTTGGCCAGGTCATTGGAATTAGAGTACGAAGCTCGAGGCCTAAACGGCCGGATGCGGAGGCAACGTCCGACGTTGAGATGACATCCGACGCCCATGCCGGCGACAATTGGGATGACATTGCAGATGAAATACCCTATATAAGTATGCTGAACAGAGTGCTTCCAGACGACATTCGGATTCTAGCCTGGTGTCCCAACCCGCCTCCGGGTTTCGACGCTCGTTTCTCTTGTCGAGAACGCCAGTACAAATATTTCTTTACCCAGCCTGCTTTCTCTCCAACTCCAGGGCCGCTGGGTTTTGCTATGCGGACGTCGGGTAACAAGAGTGCCTCTGCACAGTTACGGGAAGGCTGGTTGGATATCGATGCCATGCGAGAAGCAGCCAAATACTTCCAAGGAGTGCACGACTTTCGGAATTTCTGCAAACTCGACACAAGCAAGCAGATTGAGAACTTTGAAAGAATCATCTACCATGCCGACATCGAGCTCGTCGATCCAAAAGATCACCCTTTGGGCTATGTGAACCAGCCCGGCTTCCAAGCTCTCCCGAATGCCGCTCCCGCAACGGACGCCGAATCACAAACAATCGCAAGTTCGGCCGCTGCTAAGGTGTATGTGTTCAACCTGCACGGGTCTGCCTTCCTATGGCATCAAGTACGGCACATGGTGAGCATCCTTTTCCTGGTCGGCCAGGGACTGGAGCCTCCAACCATTGTGCGTGATCTGCTGGACGTGTCGAAAAATCCCTGCAAACCAACGTACGAAATGGCGTCTGATGCCCCGCTAGTCCTCTGGGATTGTATCTTTCCAGACGAGGCAAGTGGCAGCCGTAAAGATGCATTGAACTGGATCTACGCTGGAGATCCCAGACAATCCAAGAGTCAACTAGGCAAGGGCAGCGGCAAGTTCGGTGTTGGAGGAGTAGTGGACGGACTTTGGTCCGTTTGGAGACAGCGGAAGATAGACGAGATTCTGGCAGGCGCGCTACTAGACCTGGCTGTTAGCCAGGGTGACCAAACAGTTGTCAGGGGCGAAGGATCCCATGATCCTGTTTCAGAGAAAGAGCATCGGGGGCAGAAGGTTTTCTATGGCGCCAATGAACCCAGAATGGGCGGCAAATATGTCCCCGTCATGCAGAAGCGGAGGACAGAACCCGTGGAGGTTCAGAATGCCAAGTGGCTTGCGTCAAAGCAGCGAAAAGCTGAGAAGGCTCCGGAGCCTGCGCATGGGGATGATTAGAAAACGAAGGCTTGAAAATACCTTCCTAAAGCATATAGAACGTCGCATCATAGAGTGATCCTGCCCAACCAGATCCAGCTCAAATTATCTCATGATTTGGCGTCATATAAACAACGCCGAGAACCCCTCCAAACCTCTTCAAGGATTGCGCGCCTCGGTAGAAGTTTCTTCCCATCGTCTGTAAGCGTAAATCAACCTTGCTTGGTATGGAGGGACCTACAGGGAAAACCACAACGACGTCCGGTTCGCCCTCCACAATCACAGCGAGGTAAAAACGGACTCCAAAACCTTTAAAAGCTTCATGAATCACTATATCTTGGATCTGCGTCGTGGGGATGAATCTCGTCGCAGCTTTAGACAGATAAGTCGCAGATGAGGTAGATGTCTGGATGCCCAAACCGCGGATGACCAAAAGGGATTCTTCTGTATTTATGAAAAGGGGTGAGTCTTTGGTGCGGCAGTCGTCCACTCCAAGGGATTGAAAATACCTGTATACCCCTTTCTGAACACACAGTAAAGCAGCACTATGCTCACCGAAGCGACAACTCCAGACCTATATGCATCCACATTGCGACAGACAAAAGAGCCCAACGGGCTCGACCAGACCGCCGTCCATCGCACGAGGGAACCATCTTCGTGAAAGAATGAGTGGCGCACTTTCGCAATATCACAGACGACTATGCAGAGAAAGAGGAGCGCGCGCAGCAACATTTGGAGGTAGAAAAGCACTCTAGCTGGTGTGCTCGTATGCTTGGATGCATTGGAAACAGTAAATGACACGGTCGTCGGAGATGGACGCCGCAGAATCAGGTGAACTGGCATCTGTAACGAGGGTTGAAGACCTCACAAAGGGATTGACAGTCCAATTGAGTCCATAGGACCTGTGACTATGCGGCGCAATCAAACGACATGATCCAGAGAGAAGCTTCGAGAGCGAACAATGTAAGTCATAACGCGATGTAGACATGCATGGATCTAGAGTGAGACATAGACCACTCTTCATTGCTTGGATGATGGATCCCACGGTCTAAACTATTTTAGGTCTAGTTTGTGTACAGCTGCCCGCCAGGCCGCCATACATCATCACGTGGCTGTCCTGCAGCACCTATGTTACCACAGAGGTCCCACTCCTTGCTAGCATATTCATACCTCGATTCTTACCATGGGTGACCGTTCAAGAAGCAGATCACCGAGAAGACGATATGATGGGGATCGGGACCGGCCTCGCAAGGCTGGAGGAGGGTTTCGGTGGAAAGACAAGCGTCACGATGGTGACAGACCCGGAGCAGAAGATAGCAGGCTGAGCCGGGGTTATAGAGACAGAGGAGACCGGCCACGGTCGCCACGAAGGGAACGAGACTCGGATCGATACAGAGACAGTTACAGGGATGGCGATCGCGACCGCGACCGAAAACGACCAGACGATAGTCAGAGAGATGAGCGCCGGGAAAAAAAGAAGGAGAAGCCGGAGAAGAAGGCTGCAGAGAAGAAGGCTGTTGTGGCACCACAATCCTCAGAACCTATGATTGTGGTGCATGTTAACGATCGTCTGGGAACCAAGGCTGCGATACCATGTCTTGCATCTGATCCTATCAGTTCGTTGCCTATCCTGTTTCTCACCTTCCAATTGTGGTCACGATTGGCTGACAACAATTTCGTTTACAGAGCTCTTCAAGGCCCAGGTAGCCGCCCGTATCGGACGCGAACCACATGAGATTTTACTCAAACGCCAAGGTGAACGACCGTTCAAGGATCAGCTCACATTGGAAGACTATGGAGTCAGCAACGGGGTCCAGCTTGACCTGTGAGCAATCACTTCCCCCCCAGACTTCTCTCGCCATCGCGATTTACCAGGAAGAAGCATGACACTGACTTGCAATTTATAGGGAGGTTGGAACAGGCGAATAAAAGTGTATTGCCTTGGCCAGAAGGCCGTGCTTTCTACTCTACATTTCTTTCTCTGTGTTTTTACCATGGATTTCATTTGGGCAACGACTGGGACTCGGAGTATTAGGTATTATCATGAAAGTACTCTGGCATTTCAACTTTCGCTTCTTCTGGCCGGTTTCCTTTTATCTTCCAAGTTTGCATGTACCTACCGGCAAATGACCATGCTCTATTTGTAGTGCATCAGGCTAGCATGTCGTAACAGAAAGAGCAGGACGCTGTTTTTTCTGTGCTGGGGATGATAGCAAGAGTGCTGACTAGCTGGTTATTTGCTGGATGATGTGTTTTGGACCCCGTTCATTTCATGGGATTGAGTCATGCTGTTTGTTGATATTTCATCGTCATCATCATCATTACCTGCTCGTCTGTGCCTTTTCCGCGGGGCATGACGAGATCATCTCTCCCCGCTTGACCCGATCAGGCAATTTACTGCCTGAGGCATGAAAAACGGCAGAAACCCGAGGCAGCTACCAAGCCGGTTCCACTGGCGGAAGAGGCATTTTTTCTATCGCGGGACTCACACGACCTACCTTTCGATTTCTTCCTCTACTACTCCGATGTCTCCTCTGTCCAATTCGTCGGGCTTTGTCTACGCTCTTGATTCTCCGCCATGAGGTAGTGCTTGTCCACCTCGCTCCAAGTTTACAATCTCCCCTCTGAAACCCGCTTTTCTACCGTTCCATTCTCACCGATAATCTTTTTCTTGTCAGATCTCCCGCCTCTTCGGACACTCCAGATTTCTCTCCGCTCTCGGACCATCCAATACCATCCTTGCTTCTATATCCCTCCGGTTTTCCAAGGTCCGATCAAAACAGTCAGAACAATCAGTCATCCGAGATGGTTCGGAATATTGTCGTCATTGGGGGCACCTCCCACCCCCAGTTGACCCAGACGATCTGCAACGTCCTGGGTATCCCCCCGGCCGACGTATTACTTTCCAAGTTCGCAGTGGGGGAAACTCGGGTTGAAATCAAAGAGTCTGTCCGTGAGAAAGACGTCTATATCATTCAATCTGGCGGGTTGAAAGTGAACGACTCCCTCATGGAACTGCTCATCACCATTTCTGCCTGTAAGACTGCCTCTGCCAAGAGAGTCACCGCTGTCCTCCCTTTGTTCCCATACTCTCGCCAAAGTGATATTCCATACAACAAAGCTGGGGCCCCTCTTGTCAAATCATCTACTGCTGGAAAGCCGGGTAATGGCTACACTTTCGAGAGCACCCCACCAACCCCGCACCCTGGAAAGCCGGAGAGTGGAAGTCTTTTGAACAATGTCGATAGCCTGCAGAAGGGTCTGGCAAAGGCGCAACTTGATGATTACAGCAACGGCAGCCCGGTCAAAAGACGCCTTCCTAATGGACCTCCGCGCAGTGACACCACTGAGTCACTGAAGTCGGACATTAGTCTTCGATCCACTGTTGTCAATGGGCAGGCGAATGACGACAGTGTTCAGTCCAAGATCAGCAGCTTTCAGCCTCGCCCTGGCTACAAGCAATGGGTGGCTCAGGCAGGTACCCTGGTGGCGGATCTTCTCACCTGTGCTGGCGCAGACCACATCATCACGATGGATCTGCACGACCCTCAATACCAAGGATTCTTTGACATCCCTGTCGACAACTTGTACGGCAGACCGTTGCTTAAGAGCTACATCCAGCAGAACATTCCGAACTACAAACAGGCGGTCATTGTCAGTCCTGATGCCGGAGGTGCCAAGCGAGCGACCGCCATTGCGGATTCCATAGGAATGGAATTTGCTCTCATTCACAAGGTGTGTTTCACTCAATGACTCTGTGGGATGCTCATGCTGACTATGTGCGCAGGAACGACGCCCAACGAAGATTACAGACCGCCAAAATGCTACCATGATGTTGGTTGGCGATGTCAAGGATCGGACGGCAATTCTGATTGATGACCTTGCCGATACATCCAACACCATTACGCGAGCTGCAAAACTGTTGAAGAAGGAGGGCGCATCCAAGGTGTATGCCTTGGTCACGCATGGTATCCTGAGCGGCGACGCGATTGACCGCATCAACGCTAGCTCTCTCGACAAGGTCGTCGTTACCAACAGCGTCGATCAATCGGAGCACTTGCGCCGATGCCCCAAACTGGAAGTTTTGGAGGTTGGCCATGTCTTCGCAGAGGTAAGCTGGTTCTCTTCTCTATTTCAATACGAATCTATCCTAACGCTATGCAGGCCATTCGCCGAGTCCACCACGGCGAGAGTATCAGCGTACTTTTCCAATACGACTGAACAAGCACTGCATATCTCACTGCTTTATGGCGGTTATGTCTCGCATATGAAAGATATTCCATGAAATTTTGAAAATTTGAACGATGAAGCGAAGCCATATTTTGGGTCTTTCCATTTTCTCTGCCTTTGCTTTTGACATAGATGTTGGTTTCTGCTATCATATCTCCACCTTTTACCAACTCTTATGAAGCCTTACTATTCCATCCACCATATAACTATACATTGAATATACACGGAGACATCCGCAGGGCGAACACATGAGCCTTGAAATGACGCCCCTATATGAGACCAGAAAATGGAGTTTACTGCTTGGATTTGCCTCTTTTGTGCCTCGTGTCGTTGATTTGCGGCTGCAATCATATATTGAAGGTCGTGGATTACGCGATTATGCTTCTGTATCTTAGGAAAAGATATATGAGTCAGGACACATTGATTCTAATTTCTGCTCAGCCTATTACTCGTTACTCTTCAGACACCACTGACTGTTATTGACATTGCATGCTCTTAGCAGTGGGTGTTTTGCTACTGCCTTAAGTGTTTACTTGTTTCTTGCAATTTAGAGAAGTGGCAAGCTAGTAAATCGATGCATTGGCGCAAACGAAATATAAACACGGATTTGAATGATGAATCAATCACATGTTCGCTGTATGGGTTATTAGTTAAGAAATGTTCGGAAACAAGCTTCTCAGTAAGATATTATCCCTTAGCCCTGCTCACATACTACCGGATATGTGGATGGAGCTTACGACAAGGGTGACCTGTGCTGGGAGCACATTAAAATCCCATTTCAAATAACATGCAAGAAAGGTACCTGAACAAACTCAGGCTTAAGATCAGATGTGTTCATCTATACTATATCACAAGGAACAGATCCCCCAAACGCCGAGGCAAGCAAACAGAGACCAAGACGAAAAGAACTGGCAAGGGTATGCCGAGCGAGTTTGCGGCGCTCATAAGGAGGGTACTTGACTGATGCCAACAGCCCAAAAATCAGACAACAGGGTCGTTGAAGCTAGGTACAATAATAACAGAGACCAGGGATCGCGATGAAACGGTATGGGAATAGGCGTAGCATCGAAAGACGGAGAGGATGGCTAACATGGAAATAGCAAGGAGCAACAACGCTTAGAAGACAGAAATGAAATTTCCAATTCTCTCCTTCTGGTTCTGCGCAATGCACTCCGCGATCCAGGTGACGTTTCGGATTTCCTGCGAAACATGTCAGCTGTACTGTGTACTAAATGTGGCCATTGAGCTTCGGGCGACGAACCTGTTCCTTGAGGCGCATCCACGCGTATACCACCGCTGGGGTGAACTGGCGTGTGAAGACAATCTTACACAATTCCATTTCCTTCTGGTAGAACAGATCCTCCAGACTCTTCCCATCTGCGCCGCCACCCATTCCGAAGCCTCCACCTCCGCCCTGGCTGAGACCAACTGCGTCGAAGAAGGCCTTGTAGTCGCCGTTGACGCTCACGGCCAAAGACACGCCTTCAAGGTCGTCGGCGCGCGACAGCATCAGAGATCCCTCAGGGTAGAGCTTCCCGAACTCGGGGTATAGCTTCCTCCGTTCCTGCTTCGAGAGCTCGGTGCCGAATGAGTTCAGGGTGATATTGATTGCACGACGGTCAGCCTCGAACTGCAACAGTTCAGACATGACCTCTTGCGTAGGAGTGCCCTGGAAGTCCGGATGGGTGTTGACGAAGTTGTGAAAGTCTTCGAGGTAGTTCTTATAGAGCGTATTGCGCACGATTTCGATATTGAGTTCGTCCAAGTCCTGGTGGCTGAGACTCCCCTTAAAATAGTCCGCTAATGGTGTCTCAATCAGCACGGAATTGTACAGTTCCTCGATGTTGGTGGCGACGCATAGCACCGGCAAGGTCTCGAACCACCCCAGGGGATGGCATCGCTCCAGGAGCTCTCGCGTGTCCCGTTCGTGCAAGGTGCCGGTGATCAGAAGAGCAATGTTGTCGATCATGTATCCGTACGTCAGGTATTGTAGGAACTTGGCGGTAGACCCCGTGGCCTGGGCGAGAAGGTAGCGGAATTCCGCTACGAGCTTGTCGGTCATCTTACCGGCGAGGGCAGATGTGGAGGGGTTGGGAGGTAGTGCGGCGAGGAAGTCGCCATAGGCGGGGGCGAGTTGTAACTTGACATCTGTGCTCAAAGCATGTTAGACCATATGATACTGGCAGAAGAGACGCCGAATCCACGGACCGTCGATGTTTTCGCATTGTGTCAAGTTGTTGTAGTTCTGGCTGTTGAGCAGGCTGTTCCGATACCCCCGGACAATCCCCTCGATGTAGCTGTCCACAATCAGCGATCTATGTAATCAGATTATGAGCAGCTCAAGAGTCAGCCTACCCATTGTTAACGTTGAAAAAGAGACCCTCCATTTCGAAGTGCTGATAGCTATCTGGAGGTTACCTGAGCCTCTCCGCAAACCAACACCTGGAGCTGTTTCTCTGCCACACCTGCCGCTGTATTATATAAGCATGCACGGCCACACCACGCACCCGCCACAGGCATTGGTGGCTTGGGTCGCTTTTTTTTCAACTTTTAGTTTTCAATGCAAAAATTCCCGCCAACAGCCAGAAAAATTAACTAACCTCCAGCTCGCCCACGGTGGTTTCGCCCACGGTCGCTGACACACTTTCGGCCGTTTCTTCTTCTTTCCTTTCAGATACTTGATTTATTTTTGAGCAGCTGAGAGTCAAGGCCGTGCACCATGACACTCTTTATCCTTACCGAAACCAGCGCGGGCTATGCCCTGCTCAAGGCGAAAGACAAGAAGCTTCTGAAGAGAGACGATGTGGCTACGGAAGCTTCCACTGCAGAGGGTGTTTCGAACCTGTGAGTGACTATTGTCATGTCCCAGTCAGAGATTTGATTGATGTTCAATTCTTGCATGGGCTTCTACGAGCAAAAATTTTTCTCCACTCTCAAACAGTACTCTAACACCATAGTAGGGTGAAATTGAAGAGCTTCCAGAAATTCGACAGTGCTGCTACGGCTCTGGAAGAAGTCGCTTCGCTTGTGGAAGGAAAGGTTACTCCTCGCCTTGCCAGCCTGCTGGACGAGATCAAAGATGAGAAGAAGGTTTCTTTGGCCGTTGCCGATCCCAAGCTCGGTACGTGACCTGAACAGTTTTGAGAAGTCGTAGTATTTAGTTTCTAATCCTGCATCCCCCGACAGGCAACGCAATTGGCAAGCTTCCCGGCATGTCTATTCAATTAGTTGCGGACTCGACCACGACTGATATCTTCCGTGCTATTCGCGAACATCTCCCCACACTGATTCCTGGTCTTCTCCCCCAGGACATGTCTACCATGTCTCTTGGTCTGTCCCACTCCCTCGCCAGACACAAGCTCAAGTTCTCCCCCGATAAGATCGATACTATGATTGTCCAAGCTATTAGTTTGTTGGACGACCTCGACAAGGAGCTCAACACCTACGCCATGCGTGTGAAGGAATGGTACGGCTGGCATTTCCCCGAGCTGGCCAAGATTCTGAACGACAACATTGCCTATGCCAAACTTGTGCTCAAGATGGGCATGAGAACGAACTGGGAGACCGCGGATCTCGCTGAGATCCTGCCGGAGGAGCTTGAGGGCACCGTCAAGGCTGCTGCTGACCGATCCATGGGTACCGAGATCAGCCCAGAGGATTTGGAGAACATTCAAGCGTTGGCCGAGCAGGTTGTTGGTTTCGCCGAATACCGCCAGCAGCTCGCTGGTTACCTGACTGCCCGTATGAACGCTATTGCGCCTAACCTGACCGCCCTGGTTGGCGATTTGGTTGGCGCTCGTCTCATCGCCCACGCTGGTAGCTTGACAAACCTTTCCAAGAGCCCCGCCAGTACTATCCAGATTCTCGGAGCCGAAAAGGCTCTGTTCCGTGCGCTGAAGACCAAGCATGACACGCCCAAGTACGGTCTCATCTACCATGCTTCCCTTATTGGTCAGGCCACCGGTAAGAACAAGGGTAAGATGGCAAGAGTCTTGGCCGCCAAGGCTTCTCTTGGTATTCGTGTCGATGCTCTCGCCGAATGGGATGACGATGCCACTGAGGAGGACAAGGCCGCCTTGGGTACTGAAGCCAGATACAACCTCGAGCGTAAATTGGCCGGCATGGAGGGCAAGCCTCTCAAGCCTCGTGGTGTTGCCATCGGGCCCAACGGTGCCTCCGTGCAGCCCAAGAAGTTCGAGATCAACGAAGCCAGAAGATACAACGCCGACGCCGATGCTCTGACTGGCGACCAGCCCGCGTCCAAGAAGGACAAGAAGCTCATTGAGGAAGTTTCAGATGAGGAGATGGCCGACGCGGATTCGGACGAGGAACCCAAGGCCAACGGAACCAAGGACGAGGAGTCGTCCGACGAGTCCGAGGAGGAGTCGAGCAAGAAGCACAAGTCCAAGAAGGGCAAGGATGCCGAACTTGAGAAGATGGCCGAAAAGGCCGGCTTGAGCGTCAAGCGGTACAAGCGCAAGCTGGAGCGCGGCGAGATCACCTTCGACGCCAATGGCAACCCCAGCGCCATCAGCAAGAAGGAGCTGAAGAAGGCCAAGAAGGAAGCCAAGAAGGCTTCCAAGGGCGATGAGAAGAAGCGTAAGCGATCAGATGACGGCGAGGAGGCCGACAACAGCGAGAAGAAAAAGAAGAAGAAGAAGAAGGGAGAGGAATAAACCTTGCAATGATCTGAAAAGAAAAGTTTACGTGGATCGATCGCTTCATCAATCTTTGTATGATATCACACATTGTGGGTTCAATGCTGCTTGTCATTTTGATTATTTTTTCGTTTCTTGTGAGAGTTACTTGTTTGGGTGGCATTTCAGGCTGCGATTTTGCTGGTCTATCCATGGCGCAGAGGTGCTTATTGGTACAAGGCAGTACAATTCAGGAATAATATGTTCATATCAATTTCTTACTAGTAGTCTGTAGTCTGTCTCTTGTAGTCTAGATTTCCCCAGTACTACCTCTCTAGTGAGGCAGTCAGCCAAACAGCAACTGGCTATGTAACCAGACCGCCCATGGTCTATCTGCCGGCAGAACAGACACATCCCCGCCATCACCAACTTTTTCCAGCCAAAGCCCCCAGAACAAACACAGCCATATACCCAGAAATCGCTCAATGCAGACATATCACCACCAGACATCATGAAGGTGAGCTCGTCCAACCTACCACACCCACCATCCACAATATCTAACAGAACCTCGTACAGATCATCGACCCCCAAAGCGCCGTCCTCACCAACATCGAGGTCCTCGCATATATAACCGCCAACCCGCCGCGACGACCCCCAAACCCACCCCCCAACTCGCGGAACTGGGTTCCTAGTCCTGATCTCCGCGACCACAACACTGTCGTTCGAGAGGTACGTCCTTCATACTGAAGCTAAAAAAGACGCGCAATGCTGACGCTGAACAGATCCACAACTACATCCACCGTCTCTCCCCGCACATCCTCAAATACCCTGCCTACATCCATGGCGAACCACCGCAGTCGCAACAACAGCCTTCGGAGGCGGCGGCGCCCCCGACGTTACCGCCCGTTCAGCCGAGCACTCCCACTCCCCTCGACCTCGCGCTCCGCGAGCTAGTCACCAGGCTGAAGCCGTTTGGGCTGACAAAGGGGGAGGTGGTTATGATTGTGAATCTGGGGGTAGGGCTGGATCCATCCTCTGGGGGGCCACGGGCTGGTGAGGAGGAAGGGGAGGGGGGAGAGCAGGATGGGATGGAGGTTGATGAGGTGGAAGAAGGGAATGACGGTGGGGAGGAGGCAGGCGGAGAATCAGGGGGTGGGGGGTTGAGCGAGGAGGATTACGGGGCGCTTGCGCTGCTGGATACGGTGATTGAGGAGCGGGAGGAGAGGTTATCGGAGGACGATGTGGCGCAAATATTGGCTATCATTCGGGAGACGTTAGGGTCGAAAGGGAAGACCGGGAGTGTAGGATAGACGGAATTGGTGATATAGGATGACGAGGAATCTACGCACGATTTAAGGATGTAATGGTCTTGTACTGTGTCTATTCACTGGTCTATCTGGTATATGACTGGTATCTGGCAATGAAGTAAGGCTTTTGCGGAAGGACAGAAGTCAAATGTGCTCGACCGATAATCTGGACCACGTTCAAAATGCAGAGTCCAAACCAAATAGTCAGCGATGAATCAACTCCAAAACACCGAGAATGCAGAAGCGTCAGACAACGGGCTGACTATATCAGACCGGCCCCGGAGCCGCAAGTGATATGTGCAAAAGATGTCAAAAATATGCAGGGCGAGGAGACGGGCCATGCCCTTCGCTTCACCATGCTGCGTCGCAGCTAGGCACGTCCAACCACTTGAAGTCAGGTGAAAAGGGGACTCTGGCAGACTATCAGACAGAGTCATCTTTGCCTTTGACCAGTTGGCCGAATTGATTGTAAACAGGCTCGTCTGGGTTCCCGCCTTCGTGTGCCCATTGGCCCAGATCATCGTCGAAAACCTCTTTTTCGAAGCCCGTGCAGACCTCCGCATAGTCGAGCCACTCTCCCTTTTCCGTCCAAACGCCTCCCTTGCCGCCGCGCATATCCCACCAGTCCTGCCCTCCCAGGAGGGCTGATTGGGCAGCGTCGAATCCAGTAGGGCTACGCATGTACTTGCGGAGAAGCGCGCGAGCCCACGGTTGGTACCACATGTTGTACCACCAGGTATCTCGCGTCAGCCGTTCGGGGTGCTTCACCGGCCAGGCTTTGTCATCCTTGACCGGGTTTTCTTCGTCGAGATGGATCAGGGCCGGCACAGAGGCCGAGTGGACATTTGTCAGCAAGGGCATGCTATGCCATGAATGATTCCTCGGGTTCGGAAGAGCGTCAAGAGTAGAGTTGAACTCTGGTTTGACCTGTTCGTCCTTGCCGAACTTGGGTTGGATGAAGGGATTGCCAAGTCTCGGACTGGCAAGATCCGGAGGGAGCAGCAGACGCCTCTCTCGAGGAACGCCGTGCTTCATCTGGACAGAAGATGTTGTGGGGATATCGTGGTATTGGAGCCATTCGACATCCCTCTTCGATTTGTGTGTGTTGAAGAATAGACGAGATTCGAAATCAACGCCGATTCCGTATTCGTAGCGATGACCTGCCTCAAGGCGCGGGTTCACCCCCGTGACATTCGCAGCATCGGAAATGCCAATTAGTCCGTAAACCCACTCCTGAAACCAGTTGGAACTTCTCCGTCTTTCCAGCTCCCGCACATACTCCTGCCGTCCGTACATCTGGGTCAGAGCCAGATAGTCACTGCGGTTGTGCCGGTTTTCCTCCACGAAGCGCAGTACTTCGGCGTATATTAACTTCAGGTCGGCAGCCTGGCCGATCACCGTACCGGGCTTCAGCCACCGTGGTCGTGTCAAGTGTCCCTCCGGATGAATGTCGGTCTTCCAGCCGTAGGCATCCGGGGGCAAGCTGGACTGCGGCACGGTGATGCAGCCGGCGTCCGCAGTTATGTTGGGGAAACACTCTTTGCCTGCGGCAAATAGCACTCTCTGAGAGTATTTCTGCAAGGCCCCCTCCAGGCCTTTGCGGTAAGGATGATACTCCTTTGCAAGGCCATATTTCTTTCTCAACTTGGCATTATTCACTCTAAGGATATTCTGAAACCGCTGGATGAGCACCTCCGGCGGTAACTGGAAGAAAACATCATAGCCATCGGCGATGAGGACAAAATCGCCATCCCGCACGTGCGGGGTGTATTCCAAAAAATTGTATATGCCCGTCACACGGTCCACCATGTAATCATATTCGGAGGATCCGTCTGGGAGCTTTCTGCCGTATTGGACTAAAGTAGGCGGGGGGTAATTCAAGATCATTGCGGAGGTTATTGTGCGACACAGGGCGGCGTTCTTCTGCCCAGCGGGCAACACAAGATGAAAAGAAGGGTTGTTTTTCTGCAGACTGTTCGGCAGAGTGTCATTCCGACTTAGAGCAGGTCCACCAGTATGGATCATGGGTGTGTCTTCAGGGCGGCCACCGAATGGATGGTAAGAGGGATACTTGAGCCAGTAATTGACGGGTGTCTATATAGAGAGATAGGGTCAGCTGTAGATCAACCTGATATAGCCAGAAAACTTACCTGTCTAAAGGGCGCTGAGATAAAAACGTAAAGGAAAAAGCATGCGGCGAGTGTGAGAATGAGAGCCCTGGCCGGGCGAGCTCTCGGTCGACCATACAGATAGACTCGTTGCAGAAGCGTCGTCGCCCTCGAGCACATGGATTTATACTGATCGCCCCAGGGGGTGGAAATGCGGAGGGTAGCCATTCTGGCCGAACTGTCGTCCTCTTCTGGCCCTCTGCAAGAACGCACGACAATCAATCGCAGTGTCAGCTGGAGCCGAGCGGAAAAGGAACGTTGGTATCAACCACTATAAACGGAGGTTGTGCTCGAGATAGGCATTCCTGCATTGGAATATTCGAAAGTGAGCGAAGACGATGAGGGGTTACAGTCGTAATAGTCGTCAATTGTGCGACTCGGGGAGAGGAGCGCTCAACAGTCAATGAAGCAATGTACCATATTGTTTGCGCCGACGGAACAGAAAGTCAATGACGACGACGCAGTGTAATGCGATAGGGGTTTGTATGTTGGGGTTCAGCCGCTCCTATACAGCTCCAGAGGTTGTTGGTCCCTGATCAATCATCTGCGTTGGATTTGAGGTTTAAAGATTGAAGCGAAAGATAAAGCGCACGTTGCAAAAAGCCACAGACCCTTAGCAGGCATGGCGACTGTGGTACTCCGTGGGATGGAGCAGGAAATGATTGACATTATTTGACCCGGTGGAGCTCTACTGATAGGCGTGGACCAGGATCCATCCGCAGCCATGATGCGATCGACCAACGCCGTGCCGTGTAACGACTCTTATTACCTAGCTTCCCGTCATCTAATTTCGCTTTGGAGGTCATATCAAACATTAGATTCTATAAAGAGTTTCTCCTCTGTCCAGCAGTAATTTGAAGTCCATTGTATTGATTGTCTTCTTCTATATTGCCTCTGACGCGTCATCGCCCCTGGGGTCCCGGGTTAAAAGACGTCTGAGAGGTCAGGGACGATTGATTCCTGGCCAGGCTTGGCGCATGGGCGTTTCATCCAGATCAGCATTTAGTCTAGCCTCGACTAGATACTCCGGACTGTCTAGATGGCCTCCGTGTGACTGTGTCCTGGTCTCCTAGACATCCAGTTAGACGTCGCGAGAACTCCAGGTTTGCACGTAGGCATACGCAATATTCTCTGAATCTGTACACAGTGCGATGTACACTACAAGCGCATCATTCCAGGTATATCTCCTCACGCAGGCGCTGTAGATTCTTGAAGATGCCACCCCCCGGCCCCTCGCTTTCCTGCCGTTGATGACCCGTTGTCTTCCCTCTTGTCGACGAGGATCGCGCTTGGGACTGATCCGAACCGCCCTGGTTCTCCAATGACCGGCGTCGGTCATCTATAATCTTCGCCAGGCTATCCAGAAAACGATTCCGCGCCTTCTCTTCAGCGGAGCCCTTCCAGATCGTCGCCAACTCACGTAGCGCTTCTAATCGCTTCGTAGCTGCATCCAAACCGGCTTGTCCACCACCATTGGTATTGAGCAACTCTGTAATCTCGTTCCGGAGCCTCTTTGCAACCTCCTTCCCCTTCTCCTCGAGACTCTGGCTCTCGGGCCCAGGTTCAGGGGCCGAGACCGAGATGAACGACGACGTCAGTGAGGTTTCCGACGGCGGTAATGGCCACTCCATGGCGTCTCCAAAGGCCTGAACCACATCCTCCAGTCGCGACCGTACTTGATTCAACATCCGTAGTTTCGTGATGTAGTCCGGATCAGCGACCGTGGCATTGTCATCCTGGCCCATTTCTGCCGCTGTCTCCCCATCTTCTCCCTCTTGGGAAGTTCTAGAAACGTCTTTGTCGCTGTCCACAGTCGTCTGTAGTCCCTCAGGTACAAACTGGGCGATATCGGGCTGTAGGACCTCGGTCAACGTATCCGAAAGACCAATCGCTTCACCCCGCAGCACCTCAACCTCATAAGCCAGTCGCCCTCCACTCCGCAAAATCTCATCGGTGAGTTGTGTGAGTTGATTGGAAAGCCGAACATTCTGCGCATTGATCTGAGAGAGGATCGATTGGACTTGAGCAGACAATTCCGCGAGGGGAACGGCGCCCGGGCTGCGGGATTGCGATGACGCCAGCGTCAGCGGTGGAAGGGCATCGTTGAGGAAATCGGCTGGATCGAAGGATGGATCGGTAACGTCAGGTGTCAGTTCTTGAGAGGATCGTGTGTTTGATGTCAGGGTAGCTGCGCGAGCCGGACTGGGAGTCTGTCTCGAGGCCATTGTGTTGGATTCCAGGTTTGGAGCGTTTATCGGGGAGAACTGGGGACGGGGGTTCCGTTCTTTGTAGCATTCACCAGAGCAAGACTAGATTATGATGGGAAATTTCTCGCTCCAACCCACGATCAACATCGGCTAGCCTAGAGTTTCTGTTTCCTCATGTCCCGCTCATGTTGACAGCTCCATCAGTGCTTCCATCGGTGTCAATGTGCAATCTTCACCGCCTACGGCAATACTTTTCATTGATGGCATACTGAATGAAATTGTCCAAAGAAAGGCTTCAATTAAGCATAGGCATTATTCAATCGCAGAGCACAGAGAAGCAAGTTATTCCAGTACAGACATCATAAAAGGTTCCAGGAAATAGCCGTGCATATCCAGCAAACCGCGAATTTAAGATCATCACGCAGTCAGTCAACGTCAACATGAAAGAAAGTGGGTATCGTCGGTCGAATCATCAAGGGGATTAAGGTAGAGCAAAAGAAGGCAGGTACTCATCCGTAATGGATGCGCCAACGGATTATCAGCATTATCGTGATCGGGATTCGAGACACCGGTCTCATGTTCAGATATCTTCCACCACCCGGGCATTGATAGCGCGCTGGAACCCGCC